AAAAAAGACTATGAAAACCTGGCACTTAACCGCGCGCATACCTTGTACAGTCAGTAATAATTGTAGACCATAGTCTACTATACCTAACTAATTACTTATTTCGTTGCATATTTCATAAACATTATCTTTAGTTAAGTTTCAATAAGAGACTTTCTCCTTTCCTACATTATAAATAAAAGCATTTACTTGCATTCCTCTGCTACCTTCTTGTTTGTTTGCAAAACAACTGACCGCAGAGACTCAAGAATACCGATATTCACCTTCATGTCAGTCAACTGATTAAGTCCAATTCGTGTGTATTATTTGCTGATTTCTTGTTTCCCATTGGTTGTAGGTCCCATTGCCTCCTGCTTTGCCCTAAGTTCTATCGCGGCGGTCTATTCAATTAACTTTGATTTGATTATGCTTACTTTCGTTTATTTTAGTTGAGAATTGTGAAAAAACTCGCGGGTTCGGCGGGATTCGAACCTCACAGGGAGAGGCCTTTTAGCCAAGCCAACGCTCTACCCACTTGAGCTACGAATGTCGGATGAACTTTTGTTTATTTTTTAGTTGTCGCGCCTTTTTTCGTTATGTCTACTATTTACTAAGGCCCACCCGCCAACAGTTCCGTATTATAGAATCCTTGGGTGTTTCGTTATTCTGGTGATGTATATAAGAAATCTTTACCGTAGATTCCTCCGGAAGTGGTGCCTTAAAAGCCCGCCATAAAGGAACGTGACCCGAACACATAGTACATTCCATGCACCCAATGGTCCATTTCTCCTATTATAGAATGAAGAGTGACGGTTCCCATGGGCAATCACTCAGAGTTACAGAAAGAAGAATGACCGCTTTTAGAAAATTCATATTAAATTTAAGTAGCAAACATGAATCAGGTACAGAAATTGGCAGTAGAGCATGCAGCTAAAATTATTCAAAGTTTATCGTTCGCAGTGAAACCCACGTCGCTGATAGGGATGCTGCGAAGACGGCTGATGTTCCAAATAGAAATGTGATCGTTTTTTGAACGTTCGTATGAAAATTAAGTGATAAACACGAATCAGGTACAGACATTGGCGGTGCACTATGAACATGAAATTATTCAAAGTTCACAGGTCACAGTTGAGCCCATGTCGGTGATATGGATTCGGAGAAGACAACTGATCTTCCAAATAGGAATGTGATCGCTTTTTAGCGTACAGATGAAACGTAAGTAGATCAGCACTTATCGAGTACACACATTCTGTCGTGCAGCATGTAGATGAAATTATTAAAATTTTAGAGAAAAGAGAGAAGGAAAATAAGGAGGTCGTGAGTGATTTGTAACAGCGCAAGCTGAAAGAGTTTAAAGTGAGACGGAAGTCGCCCGACGTCCTGCTTTCCACTTCACAGTTGGCAAATTGCGCGTATGCATTGGCAGAGCGTAAAGTAGAGTGGAGCAGTGTGCATGTGCTATTCGTCAATTATTCCGCCCACACACAATCATGAGCGAAGGAGGTGAGAGTTGAGAAAATTCAGCGAACTTGAGAGGAAACATGGCTTGATGGAACCTCCGAAAGGGATAGCGATGAACGGTAGGACAGTCAGCTCGTGTGAGAGCAAGTGCGTCTACGCCAAGGTTCGTCTTGCAAAGAAAGAAAAAGCTAAAAGTACAGCTGTACCGCAAGAGACTGGGATCATGACCGGTATCCCGGCGGACATCTGAACGCCTTCAATAATCCAGGGCGTCAGCGCATGACATTGATGAAGCGTGATAGTGGATGTAGCATAAGGCTGACAGAAATCAGGTGGAATGAATTGATGAATTGCCAAGTGACAGCAGCTGGCGGTTGCTGAGTCGACATCTTTGAACAGCCTTACAAATTTCCTGCATCCAAGAGGTCTGCTAAAGGAGATAGTCGATCGCGTTCAAATCCAAGTCCCACCAGCCTGCCTGCCTTTCTGTTAGGACGCGTAAACCTACTGACGCTACTGACTGCTGGGTCAAGAACTCATGTGTCAACAATAGTCACGGTCTCTGTTCAAGACCAGGCGCAGAAACCTACGGGTAATCATTTCTCTCACTTACCTGTACGCATGACAAGGGCACTAGCTCCACCAACGACAATTACGACCCTCTCACAACCTTTTCAAACTGAGACGAGGAGGCATTAAGGAGGTGCTTTCGAAAAAAGGCATGCCTCCCATCCGCAAATTCTCTAACTTACACATAAAGAAATCCAGTTAAGTAGGAGTACGCACTACCAATCACTTTGATTTCTGTCTGTGCACTGGAGGGTTGGTTGGATTAGATCTGACATGATAAACTCAGGCGCTCAAATGCTGTTAACATATATCAAACTC